GAGGCCCCAAAAATGGAGCTGCTTCCTGTTCTCCCAGAACATTGAATTTTGTGACCACAGTTACAAACAGCCTCCAGAGATCCTGTTCTACACCAGACCAGTGGAGCCAGACTGCAGCCAAAGCCCATCACCATCCTCATCTGATTGTAAGTAGGCAATCTAGTATATTATTAGTGACACTAATCTCTAATTTACCTCACATTAAATGGACACTATAGTCCCCAGAACCACTGCAGCTTAATAAAGTTGTTCTGGTGTCTATAGTTTGTCCCTGCAGGCCTTTTAATGTAAACACACACTGTGTACAGCACTGGCATTAGTTCATATGGGTGGGGCATTCGCGATGATGTTCGGGGCGGCAAATCCTTCTTTTGCCTAGGGCGGCAAAAATCCTTGCACCGGCCCTGCGGTTACCTCCAAATAAAAGCGATCCCTGGTCAATAACCAAACCATCAAAGATCACACCAAAAAGCCTCCCGTGTCCGTTACTGCGCTCTATCCACATACTTGAAGTTATTACTGTAAATAGGTGCAGACTGATTTGAGCATGTGGCTGATTCCTGCAGACTCTGTGGCGTTAGATTCACTGGGCTGCACTGCAGTAACACAGCAAATCGTACACATTGAACTAGACTGCACTCTGCGAGCCTCACTAACTGCACGGATTAAAACTAAAACATTTATTAACACAGTGATAAAAGGATGACTCTCGCCATAAAGTATGGAGCAGACGTACTGTATGATGGGGGACAGAGTATTATCACTTATTACTAAGGCTACCAATACTATTAATGCAGCTAACACAGAGCTACAAAGTGGCAGAGAAGGATTGAGGACCCTGATCTTGTGAGCTTACAAACTACATGGTGGTGACGATAGAAATGGCATCGCCATTCGCCTAAAAATAATGGAATCGTCATTCAGAGGTTGGCGTAGGGTAACAAATACTTATCAATTTTTTCAAACATATAAATAAATACCTTGGTTTAGAGCACCCACTGACTTAGCCCTGCTCTGTGGGGGCGGCCATATTTAAGGACTCCATGGTCACACGCACAGCTTATCCAACCAACAACCATGCAAGACATGAGGAGCTAGCCTGACCAGGCCTTCAAATTGTGAACCAGGTAAGTGATTTTTCTGACCAAAGAGGGTAGGTCTGGCTATCGTACCCTGACTCAGCATGTGCAAGAAGTGAACTCAGCCTTCCAGTACTATATTATTATTATTATTATTGGTATTTATATAGCGCAGCTTATTCCGCAGTTTTATAAAGGGGGGGAATTTAACAATAAATGAGACAATAACAAAATGTTACAGGAACAATAGGTTAATGAGGACCTTGCTCAAAAGAGCTTACACTCTAGAGGACCAGATGGTACCTTACGTTAAATAATGCTCCAAGTCAATGGACAAATACAAGACGATTTAAAATGAGTAATCACTCACTGCCAATCTGTGTACTTTCTGGAGAAGGGGTATTTTTTCAGGTCCCGTGCCCCCTGTGCATTGCTTGAGGGAGGGGTACTCACATTTTTGGAGCACTCAGGGGGTTCTGGGGATCCCCAGCATTTGTGTTTTGTTTGAATAATGTTTTTTTATGGTTGTGTGGCTATGGCGGTAGACAATTAGTTAGTTTCTGTTCCAGATGGCTCTTAACTGCTGATTATTCAGGCCATCGCAACAGCTCCATGAAAAACCCAGTTTTTTGCTAAAATAAATTCGACTCCCATTGGAGCTGTTACACAATGCACTTTCTGCTCTATCAGGATCCTGTAACGTGAGGAAAGGCTGTTACAGCCGAAATATGATTAACCAACTGTGCGTCCGCCGAGCAGGTAAACCGGACATTAACCTGTTTAACAATTATTTTATATTGTACATGAAAGAACACTCACCGTACATATTTATATTTAAATACATACATAATATATATATAAACATAATACATACATAATATAAACATAATACATACATACTATATATACACACACAATACATACTATATATATATAAACATAACACATACATAATATATAAACAGAATATAAACATAATATATACAAAAAATATAAATATTAATACCGCACTCGCATGCATTAACTATGCATGTATAAAGAAAAAATGAGAAAAATCAATATGTAAGTATGCAAGAAAAAAATTCATTTATTGTACACTAGTTGTGTGTAATTCATGCAAATAGAAAAAGATCTATTGTAGCAAATTAATGATCTCTCCATAAAGTCATAGTTAATGCATGCGAGTGCGGTATTAATATTTATATTTTTTGTATTATATTATGAGGTTATATTGGGGATGAACCTCTAATACCTGCACCATTACGTGATAGAGTGCCAGCACTACCTATATTTGTTTAAACCTAATATATACATAATATATATAAACACAATACATACATAAACATAATATATAATATATACATAATATATATAAACACAATACATACATAAACATAATATATAATATATACATAATATATATAAACATCTTACATATATATATACACAATACATGCTGTCCCATGTATGACAAGCTGTGTATATGCAGAGTTATAAAGTAGATTAATGCCTTGATCTGCCATTGTCTAAGAAGAGTTCAGGACTCGATTGGGACCTCGGAATTAAAGAATTTGGGACATTGTAATAACACATTGCTTTTAGTTAACGCACAGTAATCAATGTTGCATCAGCTAAAAAAGTTTAGAAAAATTACTGCGTTACAGAATTTTCTCAACTTGACAATTCTGTCCTAAATGAATGTAAATTAATACTCTCCCATAGATACAATTTTTATTTCCTGTAATACCACACCTGGCCACAGAGGGCGTCTGGGAGAAGCTGCCACTTGGGCAGGTTTGTGCCAATGTGACTGCCAGTCAGTAAGCAGCCTACCTGAGGGTGATAGGAGTTACAGCACAAGCTGCATCAGAGGCAGACTGTCTTTAAAGGACCACTATAGTGCCAGGAAAACATACTCGTTTTCCTGGCACTATAGTGCCCTGAGGGTGTGCCCCCACCCTCAGGGTCCCCCTCCCGCCAGGCTGGATGGCGAGGAAAGGGTTAAAGCTTACCTTTTTTTCCAGCGCTGGGCGGGGAGCTCTCCTCCTTCGATCCTCCTTCTCTCCTCCCCGTCGGCTGAATGCGCACGCGCGGCAAGAGCTGCGCACGCATTCAGCCGGTCGCATAGGAAAGCATTCATAATGCTTTCCTATGGACGCTTGCGTGCTCTCACTGTGAAAATCACAGTGAGAAGCACGCAAGCGCCTCTAGTGGCTGTCAATGAGACAGCCACTAGAGGATTAGGGGGAAGGCTTAACTCATTGATAAACATAGCAGTTTCTCTGAAACTGCTATGTTTATGAAAAAATGGGTTAACCCTAGAAGGACCTGGCACCCAGACCACTTCATTAAGCTGAAATGGTCTGGGTGCCTAGAGTGGTCCTTTAATTATTATTCATTAAGTCATATAATTTATTTTAATTATAAAGCGCTGTATACTCGGGTGGTATTCCTGCCAGACATAATACGGGTAATATATCCACGTTCTTACACTCACAGTTAGCCTGGGACATGTAACTCTGGCTATTCTAAGTCATTAGAAGCTTGGCTAATCTGGGTTAAGATTTCCACAAGTTTCCAAGTTTTTAAACCTCCTCAGTTTAGTGAATAAACGCCTGAATTAGAACCTCTGGCAGCTGGCGGGAGTATTATTTACAAGTGCCTTGTTCTACACTTTGTGTTTGGTTTTCGGCTACGAAATCCTGTGAGTTTGGAGATTTGCTCACTGGATCCTGGGACGTGTCCTTTATTCTGTAAAGAACAGGAAACCCGGAATTTCAATGCTGGGATTGTTAGTCTCAGCGCCGCCTCTTACCAAACACAATTCTCCATATTATTTTATGTCAGAGGAAATTAAATGACAGTCTCCATGTGAAGACCATAATGGGCCCTTTGTTGGATAATTATCAGAAAATGACAGACACTGACCTCCAGCCTGACCTCCAGGGCCCGAATGTGCCGAAGTCCGTGAACGCGCTCCCCGTCCAGCTTCTCAATGGAGCTCCTGTTTTCCGCTTCTTCTGAGAGGAGCTGGGAATAAAGCAAATGCACTGTTACTGTCATAATTGAGCCATTTTATTTACCGTTTCTGCATATATTAGATCTTATTATTGATATAATGTATTAAATTGCATTTTGCCATCTAACTCATTAACCAATCAGGCCTGTTTGAGAGATGAGCGCACCCCGGCCTCCGATTAACTTCCTCTGAGAAACACTGTGTGCGCAATGGGGTATAAATGGGTGACCCCACAGGGTATGATTTTATTTATCCTACATTTCATATAAAGCACCGGCCTTATGTTAATAAACAAACAGGTTATTCGCTAAAATGTGAATTGTCTGGATTTCAAAGTGAATTTCAAATTTAAAGACAAATAGAGGGGAACAAATTCTCCAAGTGAGCGAGGCTTCTAGTTTAGCTGTTTTGACTTTAAATTTGAAATTCACTTTGAATTACTAACAATTCTCACTGCAGCGATTAACCCTGCATATCTGCCAGACGCACGGTGCTTATTGTAAAACGCACGGCCTGCACAACGCCACCTGACGCGTTCTGGCCTTGATTGGATTCTGCGATAATGGTTGGGTCTGTGATTAGAATGAACCCTGGCTATTTTGTCTGCCCTAAACCAATCAATGAACATTATGTGATGACAAATGGTGTTTCCAAGTGACTGCAGACTGCGCGGTGGGGGTTGAAGTGCGTTAACAGGGGTGCAAGCTGTGGACAAGGTGGTTAAAGCCAAAAATCAGTGCAAGACATCCCTTCTGGGTGGTTAATGAGCTCTCTGTATGCCTGGTCAGACCCTACCTCCCCTCCATCCCTATCAATGAATAATAGGAGGGGGGCTATAATGACATGAATAGGGGACTGGAGTGGGCTCTGAATATTCAGATATTTCTCTGTGTAATTGGATCAGATGAAAAGTACCTGATGGTTATCAAGCTCCCTGTGGGATCACCGGCTGAGCCCATTAATCTGTTATTTCATTATTGACAAACTACGGATCTCCAAATATTTACCCAGAGACTCATTTAAATAGCTCATAGAGAGCCTTGAGAGGGCAGGACGGACACGTTGGCCCTAATATGTGGCGATGAGGCCTAGGTAGGACAGAGGTTAAAGAATTTGTTCCGACACTACAGCATGAGGGTTATCCACTAATCAGCCAGTGGCAATATGTGACAATAATGTTATATTTATTTAGGATAAAATAGTGAATTCAGATACAATCCTCAACTCTGATACACTGACAGTTTCTTTATCCACCTCAGCTACTTTGGGAACATTATGGGCTGTCTGCTCACAATATCTCCATACTCCCCAAATGATAAAGA